CATTAGCATCCCTCCCTTCTCAATCCTCCTCGTGTTTGCGTGTGCTCTGTTCTTTTTCCCTCTCCGAGTCATGTTCCTCCTCCTCGTCCTGCTCCACCTGATAACGCTCTGTTTCCTTCTCCTCATCAGTCTTCACTCCTAGTCGCTCGCTTCCCCTCGTCGTCTTCCACGACGCCTCGTTTTCCCCAGGTCCTGCTTCTGCTCCCGCCCCCTTCTTCGTTATTGACTTCTCCGCGTGCTCATGTTCGCTGTTATTCTCGCCGCCTTGCTCCACCGCCCCCTCCATGAGGCCAACCGGGAATGTTGAACATGTTCGGTTCGATGTGGTTACGATTTGGTTAAGGATTACGTTTTTGGTTATGATTTGGTTACGAAGGTTGTAAAGATGGTTAAGATTTGGTTACGCAAAGATATTCCCGGGAAGATTCTGGTGACGGAGGTGTTCAATGCGTTTTAATAGCTCAAGTGTGCGAGGGGTCGATCGTAACCATATTTTCCCGTTTTGGTTACGTGCGACAGTTTCGCGCGCAACCATATGATTCGGTTACGTATAATAGGGTCTCTGTATCGATCCCTTTTCTTGGGTGGAATCGATTTCTCCTCTCTCCTCTACCCTTCTCGTCCTCTCCTCTGTCATGGGAGAGGGAGGGAGTGAGGTTGGTGGTGGTGATGTCCATGTCTGGGCCCCACAGGCCGCGGACGCGGTGGCGTTCCACGAGCCCGGGCCCGGGCCGCTGAGACAGGGCCCGACCCGATGCCTCCGATGCGATGCGATTCGATGTCCCCATGGCAGACCCCCTCCCAGACATCTGGCGTCTCGAACAATTACTCACTGCGTGGAGCTCCCCAAATGTGCATCTATTCGCATGGACCTGTCCGCCGTGAATGTCTCGGCGCAAGAGCTTTCGAATATAAACGGGCTTCAGTTGTGACGGTCTGGACATGAATCGAACTGCGAATGAATTGGAGTGTGAATGAGCCTCAGTAGTACGAGCGCGTCTCTGCGCATGAGCCTGGGGCCTCCTGGGGCCTCCTGAAACCTACTGGGGCTTCCTGGGGTCTCCAGGAGCCTCTTGGGGCCTCCTGGGACCTCCTAGGGAGGTTTCGTGCCCCAGGAGAGGCGCAAAATATAGCAACAGACGTACATACAACATTGCGGATTAGAGCCACAGGAGAAGGGCAATCTATAGGAACACGCGTAAAACACCCAGGAGTCGTGCCCCAGGAGGGCCCAATATATAGGAACATAAGTAAAACATGTAGGAATGTGTACACAGGAGAAGGACAAGATATAGAAACATACGTGTAACATCAAGGAATCGTGCTCCAGGTGATGCCCAATCGATAGGAGCATACGTAAAACACATGGGATTGGAGCCACTCCTGTTGACTTCCGAGGCCTCCTGCTCCTGGGGCCTCTCGGGGCCTCCTGTTGCCTTCCGAGGGCTCCTGGCGCTTCCTGTGGCCTCCTCGGGCCTCCTGTGGCTTCCTGAGGCCTTCTGGAGCTTCCTGGGGCCTCCTGGAGCCTCTTGGGACATCCTGTGGCCTCTTGAGTCTTTCTGTGGCCTCCTGATGCCTCCTGGGACCTCATGTGGTCTCCTGGGGCTTCCCGGAGCCTGTTGGAGCCTCCTGTGGCATCCTGAGAAGAATCTGCGCCCACGAGCCTGGCCACCAAAACAGGCAAACCGTTCGAGACATCCTCCAAATCTACTCCGAAAGCGAAGGATGCTGGGACAGAAAACGGGCAAACCGCTTGAGACATCCCCACAAAACGGCCGCGAACGGGACCGTGCAACACCCCTCGGCGGCCCGCCTTAGGGACGTGAAAATGAGCGCCTCGCTCGAGACATCCTCCAAATCTGCTCCGAAAGCGAAGGATGTTGGGACAGAAAGCGGGCAAACCGCTTGAGACATCCCTACAAAACGGCCGCGAACGGAACCGTGCAACACCCCTTCGGCGGCTCCCCTTAGGGACGTGAAAATGAGCGCCTCGCTCGAGACATCCTCCAAATCTGCTCCGAAAGCGAAGGATGTTGAGACAGAAAACAGGCAAACCGCTTGAGGCATCCTCACAAAACGGCCGCGAACGGGGCGTGCGTGAGTCTCAGCATGAGTAAGTCTGAGTAGGAGTAGGTCTGAGTATGAGTAGGTCTGAGTATGAGTAGTTTTTGTGTGTGAGTAAGTCTGGGTATGAGTAAGTCTGAGTGTGAGCCAATATGTGTATGAGTAAGTCTGGGTATGAGGAGGAGAGGGGAGGAGAAGAGGAAGAAGAAGGAGTAGGAGACGTCCAAGAAATTTGTCACTGCGTGGAGCTCCCCATATGTGCATCTATTCGCATGGACCTGTCCGCCGTGAATGTCTAGGCGCAAGAGCTTTCGAATACAAACGGGTTTCAGTTGTGACGGTCTGGACATAAATCTAACTGCGAATGAATTGGAGTGTGAATGAGCCTCAGTAGTACGAGCGCGTCTCTGTGCATGATCCTGGGGCCTCCTGGGGCCTCCTGAAACCTACTGGGGCTTCCTGGGGTCTCCAGGAGCCTCTTGGGGCCTCCTGGGACCTTCTAGGGAGGTTTCGTGCCCCAGGAGAGACGCAAAATATAGCAACAGACGTACATACAACATTGCGGATTAGAGCCACAGGAGAAGGGCAATCTATAGGAACACGCGTAAAACACCCAGGACTCGTGCCCCAGGAGGGGCCCAATATATAGGAACATAAGTAAAACATGTAGGAATGTGTACACAGGAGAAGGACAATATACATAGAAACATACGTATAACAGCAAGGACTCGTGCTCCAGGTGATGCCCAATCGATAGGAGCATACGTAAAACACATGGGATTGGAGCCACTCCTGTTGCCTTCTGAGGCCTCCTGCTCCTGGGGCCTCTCGGGGCCTCCTGTTGCCTTCCGAGGGCTCCTGGCGCTTCCTGTGGCCTCCTCGGGCCTCCTGTGGCTTCCTGAGGCCTTCTGGAGCTTCCTGGGGCCTCCTGGAGCCTCTTGGGACATCCTGTGGCCTCTTGAGTCTTTCTGTGACCTCCTGATGCCTCCTAGGACCTCATGTGATCTCCTGGGGCCTCCTGGAGCCTGTTGGAGCCTCCTGTGGCATCCTGAGAAGAATCTGCGCCCACGAGCATGGCCACCAAAACAAGCAAACCGATCGAGACATCCTCAAAATCTGGCCCACCTGGGGGGGGGGGGGAAATGAGCGCCTCGCTCGAGACATCCTCCAAATCTGCTCCGAAAGCGAAGGATGCTGGCACAGAAAACAGGCAAACCGCTCGAGACATCCCCACAAAATCCTTCGAAAGGGGCCTAGTGAAACACCCCCCCGCCGCCCCCCTTAGGAACGTGAAAATGAGCGCCTCGCTCGAGACATCCTCCAAATCTGTTCGGAAAGCGAAGGATGTTGGGACAGAAAACAGGCAAACCGCTCGAGACATCCCCACAAAATCTTGCGAAAGGGGCCGAGTGAAACACCCCCCCCGCCGCTCCCCTTAGGACTGCTGAAGCCACAGAATCGCCTGAGACATCCTCAACATCAGTGTGTGTGTGAGTCATCCGATGAGTGGACCTGAGTGAGTGTAGTGAATGTACGAGTACAAGTACGAGTGAGTCTGAGTGATGAGGGAGTCTGAGTGATGAGTGAGTCTGAGTGATGAGTGAGTCTGAGTGATGAGTGGTAAGTCTGAGTCATGACTGAGTCCGAGTGATGAGTGAGTCTGAGTGATGAGTGTGTCTGAGTGATGATTGGGTCTGAGTGATGAGTGAGTCTGAGTGATGAGTGAGTGGGTCTGAGTGAGAGGAGTGGTGTGGTCTTTCTCTCTCGTTCTCTCCTCCGGCGCGTTCCGCCAATAACAAGAACCCCATACTTAGGATATGGGGAATAACAAGAACCCCATCTTAGGATATGGGGAAAAAACGAGGCAGAGGCGTTTCATCGTTTTCGGCCTCTCGGGGCCCTTACTGGGCCTCGGGAGCGTCAAAAAACGAAGCCATTCCCAGGGAAGTGGTCGAGAGGTCGGGGGCTCGTTTCGATGCCTCCAGTCCGATTCGATTCGATGTCCCCAGACCCCCCCCACTCGCGCCAAGAAACCTCGCGACGGGCGGCTTTTCGCAATTTTCGGCCCCTTCGCCGGGCTCCCGGAGCGTTACTGAACGAATCAGGGTGGAAAGCTCGCTCCGGGGAACTCCCCCAGAACCAGGTTATTCACCCACCCCTTCAGTAGGGGTCGAGGCCCTGTCGAGGGGTCGAGACCCTTCCAAGGGGTCGAGACCTCTGAGGGTCGAGACCTCTGTGGGGAAGACAGTCAGGACGTCTGGAGTCTGGGCCGCCGGCTTCCGCGTCCGCAGGCGGCCCGGTGGTTGCGGGTGCCGCGCTGGGCCCCGAGGGCCCACCGCCCTGCCTGCCTCCGCCGACTGGACTTCTCGCCCGGCCCCCGCGAGCCGACAGCTGACGCCCGTACCTCGATCTGTGTCCCTCCGAAATCCTGGAGCAGACGTCGGGGGAGGGGGGGGGGGCAACTGTGGGTGCGTGTTGTCGGGTGGGGGTCGCCGCTCGAACGGGAGCCCGCTTTCTCAGGGTCCGACAGCTCGCACCCACACCACCTACGGCGCGTTCATCGCCTTGCCCCTCCCCGTTCCTCCTCCCTGTAGGACTGAGTGTGGGTCGGGGTCCGACAACTCGCACCCACACCGACAGCGCGTTCATCGCCCTGCCCCTCCCCATTCCTCTCCCCTAATATCAGTTTGAGCGTGTACTGTTCGTTGGTCAGACTCGGCTGCCGGCTTCTGCCGACCCGATGGATTTCGATTGCCCATGCGACGTCTCGGTTCGATGCTGTGTCGGGGGAGCGTAAGACCCGGGTTTGCCGGGACTCGGGTTCGCCATCGTTTTTTGACGACCGCGCCTCGGATTTTGACGAGGAGGAGTTTCGTGGGATGTCTGCAGCGGGAGGCCTCGTCAAAATGCAGGCTCGGCCTCGTCATTTTTTTGACGACCTCGTCGGGCCAACCCGAGTCCCCCGTACCCGGGTCTTACGTCTCCCCGACTGTGGGCTCTCCTTGCCGAAGAGGCCGCGACGGGGACCGGTGCTGCCGCGCCCGGGCGGCGATCGCGGAGGACGAGGCGAACTCGGCAGCAGAATCGGGGGAGCCGCTAACTTTAGGTCGGCCATGTCCTCCTACAGGCAGATTTTGGAAATACAAAACAGTCAAAACTTACCACTCACGATTCAAGAATAGTAGAGACAGCGTCCCCATACTAAACTTGATTATTTTTGAATTATCCTCCTGTAGAGGGACATGCCCGACTTAACCCGAACCTTAATAGCACGGTGAAGCTGTGGCCCCACTGACATCCCCGCGTTCCGCATCAGGGATAATTTTGATCTGGGCGGTTTGGTCTGATACATCTGCACAACAAAAGACCCCTTATCCCTAATGTTTCGGCCCTCCGAACTTAGGGCCCCTCCCAAAGAGCGGGGGGTCTTTGTATTGCTTATCATTGTGTAATCTCGTGACTCCGTCTTCAGAGTGCATTGGCGTCGACCAGCGTCTGGTAGTCGATGGGATAGCGCGGATGTAGCATCGACGAGCGTCGATTCGGAAGGGCCAACAAGATGGTACGGTAGGTTCACGCGGCGATGCCATTCAATATTGAACTCCGCATGAAAGAACGACGGGGAAACACCAAGGGACACTGTAGCGCCACAGGACCCGTCGGAATCTAAAATTGAGCGATCTGGGTCGCGATCGGTTCGGGGCTGAACGCCGACTTGGTGTCAAATTTTTGCGCGCGCACCGAACCCACGGTCGGACCAAGGTGTAACATCGAGGCCGGTCCGGGGAGGGGGCCCGACTGTTCGTCGTGTTTGTCGGATATTATTGCGCATCCTGGCGAGGGCACTCTTGGATGTTCTGTGTGTTATGGCCGGCGAAGGGTCTGGTGTTCTTGCAGGATGCTCTTCTGTCCCAGGTCCGACCGTACCAAACGGGAGGCTCCCGTGAGCTTCGGGGAGACGTGCAGCGGGGGCTTGGGGGAGGGGCGAAGGCTTCTCAGAAGCAGCCCTGCTTCTCAGAGGGCGCGGGCCTTGCCTGCAGATGTAAGGCCGGCGCCTCCTAAGAAGCGACCTCCGTCCAACCCAGACCCCCGACGTTGTGATTTTTTCTATTCATCCCGAGCCGTTTTGTCCGCGGTCCCAGGGCCGGGTACGGGCCCCCAGAGGCCGAAAAATCAGCGACAGAAATGACCGTGGTGTTTTTTGTTTCGCAACGCGAGGGTTAAGTCGGGCTTGTACAGGAGGAAGATTCAAAAATTGACAAAAATGATATGGGGACGATTTCTGGACTATGTTTGAGAATTTTTGGAATATTTGGAGGGTATTCTTACTTGTTCCTCCAAGATCCCCCTGCAAGGGGGACAGGCCCGACCTAACGCGAGGGGGACTGGGCCTGGAGCTGCCACCGAAGAGGTGCTCGTGCGGCTGCCGCGGCACCTCGCCTTCGAGACGCCGCCGTCGCGCCCGCAGGGCGTGGCCCCCGAGCTCGTGCGGCTGCTGCAGCCCGTGGCCGAGGAGGGCGGCCCCGGGCAGCCCGCGGGGCGCGGCCTGGCCGTGGCGCTGCTGGTGCTCGGGAGATGAAAATTTGTGTTACGTCGGGCCTGTCCCTCTAGAGGAGGGATATTCCAAAATAGTAGAAACATAGTCTGGGGACGATTGAATATTGTAGAGCATGTTGAGGCTAGTTTTAAGTCTTCGCTCAACATCGGCCTGTAGGGGACAGGCCCGACTTAGAATTCGTGCAGTCCACCCGCAGACCCAGGCCCCGTGAAAAAAGTCGCGGCGGGAGGTTTTTCGTTATTTTCGGCTTTCGGGGCCCCTTGCCGGGCCTCGGGGGCGTCGAACAATCGGCCCAGCATGAAAAACCGGTCCTGGCGAGTGGGTCGACGCTTCTGGGGGTCGACGTTATCAACAAATCATGACGTCGTGGGTCTGGCCCTGCATCTCGCTGGCCACTCCCCGCTCGAAAAGCTTCGGATGGGCGTCCAGGGCCCTTGCATCCCTGTCGCGCATCCTTATGATACGGGTTGGCGGTACCGATGTCGCTCACCCAGGAGGGTCTTTCATGCTAATTGGTCGTTCCCTGAGCTCTTGGCTGGCAGTTCGCTTCGTTCTTCCCCTTCTCATCCTTCCCCTCGTCATCAGCATCATCATCAGTATCATCATCAGCAGCATCATCACCACCATTATCATCATCAGCAGCAGCAGCATCATCTTCACCATCATCATCATCATCATCATCATCATCATCATCATCATCATCATCGTCACCGTCAGGGATCTTCATCCACCCCTCATCCATCGGCGGTGGCCGCCGCGGGGGAATATCTGTTTTCCGTATTTCCGAGGCCCCCAATCCGTCAGTAAGCCCGCGTAGACAGAGATGCAAACAAAAGTGGCTTCGAGTATTGGCGGTCCGTCCGGACCCTCTGCGGCTCATGCCCCTGCCTCGCTTTCGCCTTCCCAAGCCTCGTGGGAGGCCCTCGTCCCCTCGGCGGGAGCCGCCTCCACCTCCTGGCCAGAACGCGCCCCCGGGAGAGGTCCGGGGAGCAGCAGCTGTGCCGGCGCCTCTTTCCGAGCATTCTCTGTGTTTGGAGGGTGAATCACAAGACGGATGAATTTTCGAGGTGCAGGAGCCCATATGGATTTCACCCTGAGCCCTCCACCCTAAGAACATGCTCAGTCTTTGGCTCCCCCAGGTGCACCACGAGCGCATGCGGGGCGCCGCCTCGGAGTTCGCGGCGTACCTCGACTCGCTGCCAGCAGGCTTCCCCACGATGCCGCTGCTCGACGAGCGGCCGCCCTGGGGCCTGTCGGACCTGGACGCCGCCGAGGGCGACGGGCCCGAGCTCTACCGCGGCACGGGCGTGGAGCTGCTGGCGAGGGGCGGGAGCGCGCTCGCGGGGCCGAGCGGCGTGGCCAGGATGTGCTCGGCAGCGAAGCACGGGAGCCCGAGGTGCCCTCGCAGTGCCGTCTTCAGCGTCGAGCAGCGTGGATTCGCGTCGGGGGGTCGATGAGATAGCGCCGATTTGGCGTCGGCTAGCGTCGACTTATCGTCGATTAGCGTCGAGTAGCGTCGATTTGTCGTCGACTAGCGTCGAGTCGCAAAAGCCGACAAGATGGTATGGGAGGCTCCTATGAGTTGCCACCGAAGGATGCGCGCCCTGATCGAGCAGCTGGACCCCGAGGGCCTCCACTGGCACCGGGCGCAGCGCGGCTGCGACGCCACGCTGCGGTGGGCCGCGGCGGCGGTGCAGTCGCGGGCACACGCCGCCGAAGAGGGCCGCACGGCGCTGGTGCCGCTCGCGGATGCCTTCAACCACTCGGCTTCGTGCCCGAACGTGGAACTGGAGCCGCCCTGCGAGCGCGACCCCTTCTTCACGGTGCGGGCCCTCCGCCCGATCGCCGCGGGCGAAGAACTCTTGCTGAGCTACGGGCCCTTCTCGAACGCCGAGCTGCTCTTCAGCGGCGGCTTCGTGTGCTCCCCCAATCCGAGCGACTGCGTGCTGGTCTCCAGGTCTCTCGGGCCTCCTAGATGGGATCGGAGCAGATGGGGTCGGAGGATTGCGCCGCATCGCCGATGCATCGACGATGCATCAGCGATGCGTCGGCGATGCATCGGCGCTGCGGCTCGATGTGGGGCCCAGCTTTCTCCACGCCGACGTGGCCGATCGCCGACGTCGCCAGCGCATCGCCGATGCATCGCCGATGCATCGGTGATGCGGCAGGCTCCCTCGACCCTCCTCCTCCTCCTCCTCCGCCTCCCGCTCCTCCTCCTCCTCCTCCTCTCCTGGCTCCGCCTCCTCTCCTCCTCCTCCCCTCCTCCTCCTGGCTCCGCCTCCTCCTCCTCCTCCCTCTCCTCCTCCTCCTCCTCCTCCTCCTCCTCCTCCTCCTCCTCCTCCCCATCTGCTCGGAACCCCTCTAGGAGGCCACTTCAGGGCCGAGCTCGCGGGGGCGGCGCGCGAGCAGTTGCAGGCCCGCGGCCGCCCCGCGCCGCCCGACCTGGACGTGGATTCTCCGAAGGGCGTAGGCGACCCGTCCTCCTCCTCCTCCTCCTCCTCCTCCTCCTCCTCCGCCTCCTCCAAGCTCCTCCCCTCCTCCTCCTCCTCCTCCTCCTCCTCCTCCAAGCTCCTCCTTCTCCTCCCCTGGCTCCTCCTCCTCCTCCTCCTCCTCCTCCTCCTCCTCCTTCTCCTCCTCCTCCTCCCCCTCCTCCCCCTCCTCTCCTCCTCGGGTCGCCTACGGCCCCGGGAGAAGCCGTGCAGGACGCGCGTTGCGCGCGGCTGTGGGAGGCGCACTGCCCGGCGGGCGTACGCCTGGGCGCCTCGGCGCCGCTGCTGGGCGGCGCCGTGCCCGGCGGCGTGGTGGGCCTGCTGGCGGGCCTGCTGCTGGGCCGGGAGGCGAGGGGCGAGCAGGCGGCGGCCCTGGACGCCGATCCTCGAAGAAGGCATGAGGCCACAGGCACCCAGGCACGTGCGCGTCGTAGAGAAGTCAGGGCGGAGGGTTTGGGGGGCTCTTTTCGGCCTCGGGGGGCCCTCGCCGGGCCTCGGGACCGTCAAAGAACGGCTCAGGACGAAAAACCGGTCCCGGGGAAAGGGTCGAGACTTCCAGAGACGCCGTCTAAAAAAAGTCCAGAAGCCGCATATCTGGGCATGAAAGCTCGTGGCGCCCGCGCGGCTTCTTTGTCTCTCTCTGCGCTGGTCTGCGCCCTGGCAGCGCCGCCCGTGCGTCGCCCCACGGCGCGCTCTGCGCGCTGGGGGCGGGGGGGTCCAGCGCAGAGCCAAGGCATCCGCGCGGACCTCCCAGCCCCAGAGTTCCGACGTCGTGCTTTTTTTCAACACGGGGCCCCCAGAAGTGCCGACCCGTACCCCAGGACTGGCTTTTCAGCCTGAGTCGTTGTTTGTCGGTCCTGGGGCCTGGCGAGGGCCCCGGGAGGCCGAGAATTGTAAAACCAATCTTCGTCTTGATTGTTTCAGTCCGTTGGACTTGCGGGACATCCGCGCGGACCGCCCAAAGTTTCTGAGTAGGAGGAGGAGGCGGAGGAGGAGGAGGAGGAGGAGGAGTAGGGGGAGGAGGAGGAGGAGGAGGAGGAGCTAGGACAAGCTAGGTGCGCTCGCGTCATATCTGACGTCCTACCCCTCCCTCCCATCCCTTACCATGGCGCTGATTTTCTCTATCCGCGGACGCGTGTCGTAGCGGACCTGTGGCTCCGCGCGCGCGTGCGTAGTGGGTGGTGGTGCACGTGCGTGCGTGCGTGTGTGCGTGGTTGTCGTGGTGGTGGTGGTGGTGGTGGTGGTGGTGGTGGTGGTGGTGGTGGTGGTGGTGTGGTGGTGGTGGTGGTGGTGGTGGTGGTGGTGGTGGTGGTGGTGGTGGTGGTGGTGGTGGTGCTGGTGGTGGTGGGTGCGGTGCTGGTGCTGTGGGTGGTGGTGGTGGTACTGGTGCTGGTGCTGGTGGTGGTTGTGGTGGTGGTGGTGGTGGTGGTGGTGGTGGTGGTGGTGGTGGTGGTGGTGGTGGTGGTGGTGGTGGTGGTGGTGGTGGTGGTGGTGGTGGCGGTGCGGCGCGGTGGTGGCGGGCGGATGGGCGCGCGAGAAAAAGGCCCGCGCTGGGGCGAGAACGCCATCCTGAACGACGGAGGCCAAACACCGATCCGAAAATGAGGCCCACGCTGCAGCGGGAGCACGATTCGGAACGATTCGGGAGCAGAAATGAGGCCGGCGCCTCAACGAGAGCAGCACTTTGGGAAAAAATGACGCCGGCGCCTCAGCGAGAGTCGCTTCCCGGGATTTCCCGGGCATCCCGTGTGCAAAAAAGCAGTACGCGGGGGGTGCGCGGCCATCACCCGGACGCCATCAGGGGAAGAGGGGGAGTATATTCATATTGAGTAATTGTGGAGGAGGAGGAGGATGAGGAGGAGGAGGAGGAGGAGAGTATATTCATATTGAGGAGGAGGAGGAGGAGGAGGAGGAGGAGGAGGAGGAGGAGGAGGAGGAGGAGGAGGAGAGTATATTCATATTGAGTAATTGTGGAGGAGGAGGAGGAGGATGAGGAGGAGCCTGTGCCGTTCTCCCTTCCTCGGGACATCCCGCCGCGCTCCGGGCCCTCTGGGCCGCGGGCACGCCGGCCGCGGAGGCCCTGCGCCAGGAGGTCTGCGGGGCGGTGCTGCACCTGGCCGAGGGCGCGCTGCGGCAGAGGTCGGGAGGGGACAAAAAAAGAAACAGACACAAAGAATCGTCGATTCCCAGGAGAATCCCAGACCTCCTCGCGTCGTGAGAAAATTATGGCGGGTGATTCTTCCTTCTTTTCGGCCTCCGGGGGCCCTTACCCGGGACCGTTAAAAAACGACTCAGGATGAAAAACCGGTCCCGGGGAAGGGGTCGAGACCCCTGGGGGTCAATGTCATGAGGAAATCATGACGTCGGGGGTCTGGGTTCCTGGGGAAATGTAGGAAAATATTGGACGTGGGGTGGAAGACGCAAATCCAAAAAATATGGGCAAGTATGGGGACTCCAGGAATTTGCGTGTATCTGTTTGTGTGTGTCCCCAGATCCCCGACGTCATGATCTTGTCGTGACCTCGACCCCGAGCGGTCTGGACCCATTCCCGGGGACCGGATTTTCGTCCTGAGTCGTTTTTTGATGGTCCTGAGGCCCGGGAAGGGGGGCATCCAGAGGCCGAAAATTGTTGTTTCTTTTTTTTCGAGCTATGATGTTCCAACCTACTTTAGCCTGGACCACCAGAAAAATTGTCGCGCACCAAGAATGTACCGAAACTTGAGGGTGATCACGTACTGGGCCTTGGGAGGCGATACTGATTCGACAATGTTTCGATACCTTTCTGGGTGCTCGGAATTGTTTTTGGGGACTTGGTCCTTACGTACGATGGGAGCATCATGAAACTCTCAGGAGGGAAAAACACACAGAGACACAGTTAACCGTCGATCCCTTAGAAAACATGGCAACATATGGGAAGTGGGGGGGACGACAAAAGCCCAGAACCTATGGGAAAATATGAAGAATCCTGATCTTCGTGCCTATATTCATGCTCGTGTGTCCCAGGGCCCCTTCCGACTCGATGGGGGGCCTGGGCCCATGGGCCCCTTCGCAAGGTACGCCGAGGCGCGCGGGGAGGAGGAGGAGGAGGAGGAGGAGGAGGAGGAGGAGGAGGAGGAGGAGGAGGAGGAGGAGTCCGCAGCCATTTTGGCTCTGGCCCGCTTGGACTAGCAATGGCGCGGGAAGTTCTGCGAGGCTCGGCTGGCGCGCGGGCCTCTGCGGAGAATTGGTTCGGAGGCAGCAGGCCGAGATCGCCGCGCTCCGCGGCGAGCCGGAGTCCCTGCGCACCGCCTCGGCCCACCAGGAGGACGAGGTGAGGCGGCGCGAGGCCATCGCCCGCCCTGCTCTCCGATCGCTGGTGCGCGGTGTCCGCCTGTCAGGCGGCAGACGCCTCCGCCGCAACTGCGCGTGGCACGCTTCGCGCTGCCCGCGCGCGGGGGCACCGAGGCGCGAATGGGCCGCGGCTCAAAAGGGGCAGCGCTTGGGAGCAGCTGGAGTGCAGGCCATCCTCGTCGGCGAACGATTGGCCATCGAGTGTTACGTGGAGGTCTGCACCTGTGAGGTGGTGTTCCCGAGGCTGGTGGCTCCCAGGGAGCTGGCCCTGGATTTGGCGCCGGGAGTCTGGGAGGCGATCGACCAGGACGAGGGCGCCGAGAGCGAGGCCTTTTCCCCCACGGCGCCGAAAACGGGGGCCAGGCCTTTAGTTGCGGGCTAGCTGCAGGATGGAGGCTCGCGGAGCTGGAAGCACTCAGGCGGTGCAATCGGTGCGAGGTGATCCTGATGGAGGCCCTCAGCGAGGGACAAGCCGCAGGTCGCCTGGTCAGCAGCGCTGCTGGGAGCGACGCTGCAAGCGCTGGGTCGCTGCCGTCGCCTCCCTCCGCGGGTGCGTTGGAGCCTGCTGAGACGATCGTGGAGAGCGGTGCTGCAGGCCGAGGGCCGCCGCCGCTGCTGGCTCAGGGTGCGGTCGACGTGCACTCGGGGAGCCCGACCTGGAGCAGGAAGACCCCTTCAGCGGAGAAGGCACAGTCGTGCCCAACCCAGCCTTAGACACAGAGGTGCCGACAGGAGCCGACGACGGCTCTGAGGTACCAGCCATGTTCGACGCCGAGGCCTTCGAGGAGCACAACCGTCCTCATTCACGCTTCGGCCCATATACAGACATTTCGTATGAGATTGCTTCTCTTTGTTCACGTGGCAAAAATACTGTTCCATGTGCAGTCTCCAGCAAGGTATGGTGGAAAGCCCGCCAGGACATCGCCAGCGTCTGGCTGAACCCAGGCGCTGCTCTTGCCTCAGGGCCGCCACCAACACCTGTCTGGAAAGTTCTCGATGCATCAGGAAATTTGGACACGTTCGGAGCGAAAGACCAGCGCACTATTGAAGAGCAGCATCTTCGGTTTCGATCTCTCGGGGTCTCCAGCAGGTTCAAGTTGTTTGGACACAATGCCTACATTGTTGCGGATTTGCACCGCATGTATATCAGGCCATCCCACACAGGTGCTCTGCGCGCGAGACGCCAAATCTGCAGTGTGATTTGAGGGGCGATCACTGTGCTGTTATTCCTCGCGTTGCCACTTCTCCTGTTTTGTGTTTGCATATTCGCTCTGTTTTTTCTATATTCACTGGTTCTTTGCACCGTGGCATTCTTTCATGTGCGTCGATCGCCATTCAGGGTGTTACATAAGAGTGCAGTCCTTTGCAATCCTTTCCCCCACAGTGGGGCTGCGGCTCCCTCAGAAGGCTCAGAAGGTTCGCCTCTCATCGCGCCCCACGCTGTGGGCGGGCGGCGGACTTTGGCCATTGCCTGCGGGTGGTGGCTGGGGGCAGCCAGGCACCTGGGCCTCTGCCATGAGCTTGTATGGCGGGCCTGGCCTTCGGGCTCCGCCCTACAGGTGTGGGGTAGAGGTGGTGTTTGGGGGCCCTTTTGCAGCCACTTCGATCATGGATTGGTGGGTGCCAAGAGAGAGCCACTAAAAGAGGAGGAGGAGGAGGTGGAGGAGGAGGAGGAGGAGGAGGAGGTGGAGGAGGAGGAGGGAGGAGGTGGAGGAGGAGGAGGAGGGAAGGGGAGGAGGAGGAAGAGGATGGAAGAGACGGGTCTCCCAGGGCCCCTTCCGCCTCGAGGGGGGCCTGGGCCCCTGGGCCCCATCCGAGAGGTACGCCGAGGCGCCCGGGGAGCGCGGCGCCGCAGCGGCGCCCCGCGCGCCCGCGGCCGCCCCCCCCGCGGGGGGGCCCGCGGCGGAGGGGCCGCGGGGCGGCGCGGCCGGCGGCGCGCCGCCGTGCCCGGAAGTCGGGCACGTCCCTCGACAGGAGGAATCTTT